CAAAAAAGTCCAGGTGTACAATATGAGTAAAACAGTATTTTCTCTATTTTGCTGAAAATCATTCCTCTTATTCACTGGTGAAACCATGTCTTATAGTATAAATAATTTTATTGTAAACTTAGAATATATACTTCAGGGATGGTCATTAGGATTTATATAACTAGATTTTCTGGATGGAGTTCCATTTAACCCCTGGTGGAACATTTAGGAAATTCCATGTTACATATGACAAACCAGTTAAACAGACTGGCCAAAAGCTGGAAATGTAGCACAGATACCTTAGACACCTGAGGCTTACCACACTCTTGCCAAAAATCAAGTTTATTTCAGGAATGAGCTATTTCACTGAAGCTCCTACACACTGGCCTCACTGATCCCAGACTTCCAAAATTAAAATTCTCAGAGTTTTGAGTACTTGCCTTTCATTCTTATCCAATGTTACACCCAAGCAAATGGAGTCTAGTAATAAAACCAGATTTTGCAAAACAACATGCCAACAGCTTATAAAACCAAGACAAGATAGCTGTTCTTAATACCTTATCAATTACATCAACCATAACCACACACCAAAGAAAACAAATTGAGATTTTTTTGCCCCCCTTCTATCATTAATTCATTTAGGGCTCTAGCATCTAATTCCAAAGTAAGCCATCAGTGAATCTTAAGGCAATTACATTACATTGAAATTTCTCCATTCCTCTTACCTGTACTTTATTTTTCTTAATCTCAATTTTCCTCCCTTACTTTCATTGTGTTCTACTTTGTGAGAACATAATAAAGCAGTTATTTATGCCCCATCGATGAACTTATTATAACCTGGTTCTTTTGCGTATTAAAAGGTGACAGTCTCTTTAAAGAAAACTTTATATACTAGTGTTATATACTAGAAGGACGTCATGCTTAGGAGGGTGGAGAGACAGCACAGGAGAGGAAGACCCTCGAAGAGATGGATTGACTCAGTCACCAGGATAATGGGAATAGGTTTGTCGGAGACAATAAGATTGGCAAGGGATAGAGCAGGGTTTAGGGTTGCTGTACATGGTTTGCTATAAGTCACAGACAACTCGACAGCACATAACAACAACAATAGTCTATCTAAGTATAAACTATTCAAAAGAATAAATTCATTTTATACCTGGTGTATAACTCAACTCACTGCCATGGAATCAGCTGAGAGCTGGCTCTCCAGAGGTTTTCAGAGCCTGTAAATCACCCAGGAAGAGACTTTCTTCTTCCCTCCACAGAGCTGCTGGTGGATTCGAACTTACAGAAAAGTATCTCCTTTGGGTTACCAGTACAACTCGCGATGGACTTTGCCACTATAAACAAAGGCAACTGAGAAATGGAAAATAATTGAGAAAATCTCATTTCTTTCCACTCCATTGATAAAAAGACTAGGTATATAGAATGTACTTATCCTGAAACTTAAGTCTTTTATATATCTTTAAAGAGTCACTGTAGGCCCAGTATGATTCTAATTGTTGTAGGTGCCACCAAGTAGACTACAACACACAGTCAACTGATGAACAACAGATTGAAATTCTGCCCTGTGTCATCCTAGAGATCGCTGCCATGTTCAAGTTCATTGCTGCAGTGACTGGGTCAATCTATCTCCTCTACTCTTCCCAGCATAACCTTTTCCCAAAGACTGCCTCCCCTGGAAAACATGCCCAACATATGTGACACAGTTTCATCATCTTTGCCTCTAAGGCATTCTCTGGTTGCACTTTCTTGAAGACAGGTTTGTTTGCTCTTTTGGCAGTCCATGAGACATTCAACATTCTGTACCAACACCACACTTCAAAGGCATCAATTCTTCTTTGGTCTTCCTTATTCACTGAAGTCAGATTGTATGAAGAATGGGACATTCAGGTTGGAGATAGACTCAGTAACAATTATGTATTATGCAAATGACACAACCTTGCTTGCAGAAAGTAAAAAAGACTTAAAACACTTCAATATGGATTATGTCTCAGTATCAAGAAAATAAAAATTCTCATTATAATAGATGGAGAAAAGACTGAAGTTGTCAATTATGTCATTTTGGATTCACAATCAACACACATGGTAGGAACTATATTATGCCATATTAACCATGGATCACCAAAAGAACAAATAGGTCTGTCTTGGAGAGAGTGAAACCAAGCTGCTCCTTTAAGACAAGGATTTTGAAGCTCCTTATCACATACTTTGAGCCTGTTGCCAGGAGGGACCAGTCCTTGGAGAGGAACAACATGCTTGGAAGGATGGAGGGACGGCATAGGTGAGGAAGACCCTGGATGAGATAGTACTGGAGAATACTGGCTGACACAGTAACTGGGGTAGTGGGGGTAGGTGTGTTGGAGACTGTGTGACTGGCTCACGATAGGTCAGAGGGCAGAGCTATTGTACATAAAGTTACTATGAGTCGCAGGTGATTTGATGGCACTTAATAACGCAGCACTTAAGGCATAAGTCAAAGAAACTCAAATCAAGTGAACTTAAACATAATCAGAATTTACTAGTTCACAAGATACTAAGACTGTGCACAGAAACAAAAAACTTCAGGGACCAGGGTGTCACAGGCTCAATGCCACCAGATTCATTTTGTTATTTCATAAAAATAAAAAATTTCATGTTCCTCTACTCCTTTAGTCTTCTTTTCTCCACTGTAGACATGTGCCTTTCCTCTATAAAATGGGGGAACAGCGGTGGAGGCAATCTTATCTTTACAAATCCAATAAAAGACTAACAGCTTGTTCCTATCATCTGTGTATCAATACGAGTGAAGAACTCTGATCATTTTGTGTTAATTTTCAATCCTTTATGCAAATCAGGATGATTGGGGGACAAGGTCAAAACTGATACGGTGGTAGATCATTGGAAAACAGAGAATTGGAAACTTTGGTGAACAAAATAAAAGCAATGGTTTGCCATTATCTGTAATTAATTTAGAGTCCCCGAGGGGTATAAACTGTTAAAGCACTCAGCTGCTAACTGAAAGGCGGGAAATGTGCGTCTACTCAAAGACACCTCAAAAGAAAGGCCTGACAGGTGCTTTCAAGTCAATTCAGACTCACAATGACCCTACACACAACAGATACAAACCCTGACTGCTCCTGCCCCATCCTCACAATACCTTCTGTGCTAATGACAACTGTGGATTCTGTCAGTCCATCTCAATTCAATGAGGGTCTTCCTCTACTTCACTGCACCTCAACCTCTGCAAGCAGGATGTCCTTTCCAGGTACTAGCCCCTCCGGATAATATGCCTGAAGAATGTAAGATGAAGTCTCATCATGCTTGCTTCTAAGGAACATCCTGGCTGCACTTGTTCTACAGTCCAGCAATCTACTTCTAAAAATCAGCCACTGACATGACAAGGAGAAACTTATGTCTGTAGTGAAAGAACCACTGCTGATCGTCATTCTGTCATTCAAAACGGCAATGAAAACAGCGCCCTTCCTGATCAGAGCGCCCCAGTTGCTTCCACGCACAGTGTGAGCAGCGCGGCCACCCCCGACCGCATCCGTTTCCCCAGAGGAACTGCCAGCCGAAGCACTTTCCACGGCCAGCCCCAGGAACGGAGGACAGCCACCTACAATGGTCCACCTGCTTTGCCCAGCCTGTCCCACGAAGCCACACCCTTGTCTCAGACAAGGCGCCGGGGCTCCACTAATCTCTTCAGTAAATTAACTTCAAAACTAACAAGGAGCCGCCATGTGTCTGCCGAGCAGGACGCCGGCAGAGAGGCCAGGCCGCGCTCGCTTGGCTTCGCGTCGAGTATGAAGACCATGAGCTCCATGGAGCCCAGCGACATCATCCGCAAGGTGCTGGATGCCAACAGCTGTGACTACGAGCAGAGGGAGCGCTTCCTGCTCTTCTGTGTTCACGGCGACGGACACGCCAAGAGCCTCGTGCAGTGGGAGATGGAGGTGTGCAAGCTGCCCAGACTGTCCCTCAACGGCGTCCGCTTCAAGCGGATATCCGACACGTCTATCGCCTTCAAGAACATCGCTTCCAAAACTGCCAACGAGCTGAAGCTGTAGCACAGTCACCGTGGTGCAAATCAAGCAGCAGCCCCAAGTGTTTTCCCAGACAGTGAGGAGATGAGAACCATGCTCAGCAGTGAAATCCGGACAGGACAGGCTGAGAGTGAGCGCTGAGCGAGGCTGGTCTTTCCTGTCCACGCACTACAGTAGCCATGGGAGACCCCCATGTGCTCCCTGTCGCCCGAGCATCCCATTCCATCGGTGGCCACATCAGTCCCAAGTCCCTCTGTGGGAGATCATTTGGTGCTAAAACATTAAAATTGCCAAGGAGGAAAATACCGAGTTGTACTAAGCATTAACCTGAAGCCTTGTTGACAATACAGGTTTACAGTTCATGACTGTGACAAGCTCTGTCACACAAGAGGTCACCATGACTCAATCACATGAATGGCAATTATTTTAAGCTAATTTAAATTCTTTTCATTTTCTTAATTAAATGCAAAGATCTCGAAAGGAAAATACACTGTATCCACTGTATACCTTATTCCTTTGGTACAATTAGAAGGGAGAATCCCTAATATGCAAAAAAATCCTAAAGCCACAACCCAGAAATTCTCAATAATCCTCCAGATCGGCTCCTAATATAAAAAATAAACCTGTTCCTGGCAATGAACCACTGATGGATAGAGAAAAGTCTTATCACAAGGTAGAATGGATTGAATCGTGGGTTGAAGAAAATACATAATCAACTTGGCTGGGACATAATTCTCAGTGGTTTCACACGTATACACTGATGTAATTAATGATGCTTTAATTCCTCCATCTGAATTAAAGTGGGAAGTAATACCCTTAACCAAGCAACAGTCTTGATGAGACAAGTTTCCCAGAAATGCGGCCTGCATCACTCTATCTACACGAGACGAAAAGAAGCCTTACTATCACCAAGAAAGAAGAGACAGGAACAGAGCATCTTTTGGACCTAGTGTCCCTGCACTGGGAACCTTTTACAAACAGGAGACACAGAGAGACAAAGCCATGCCCTAGAGCCATGCCCTAGAGTCTAAATTCATCCTTCTAGGCTCCTGAAACAGGAGAAAATACATTTCTGTCAAAGTCATCCACCTGTCGTGTTTCATTCATAGCAGTATTAGACAACTAAGTTTGGGGGAGGGGCATAAAATAAAGGTTTTATATTTGACAGTTCAGCAAGAAACAGGACCAGCTCATTTTTAAAAGTCACTTAATAGTGGCACAAATCTGAAATTAATATTTAGAAAGAAACCTGCATTATCAGCGCTCACATAATCACAACTGCATTAACTAAGCTGCCTTCTTAAAAAGAGGTTTTTAAAAATTGGAAAGAATTCTGAAATCTCCTATCATACCTGAGGTTTTAAGTAACTTTGTTATAGGGCTAATCATCTCAAAGCAATTGTTATAAATAAAAAACAGCAATTGGGAGCTCTTGAGGCCTAGCGGCAAGAAGCTGCACTGTAATCCCAGAAGTGTGCAGTTTTAATCCACCAGATGCTGTGCTGGAGAAGGAGGGACAATATCCTCCTGTACCAGTCAGATCTGATTTGACGGTACATGTACAAAAAATAGTAAAATTTTAATGAAAGAAAGATGTGTTAAAAAAACCACCAGCAATCCCAACTCTTCACTTATCACTGTAACTCTCACACCTTGCTACAAGCTGTCATTTTTCTTTTTCTAGTGTTTCCAGTGCCATGAACTCTTGTTCTGATCTACAGAACTGTACTGAATTCAGATGTATACTCAAATTCGGTTCAATGACCTGTTTTCCATCATATGTAGGCACCTGTAAAACAGAAAAGGGTCTACTTCCTTCAAAACTCAATCTGAGACAATAAAATGTTAATATTAAAGTCAAAAGTATATGGTTATTTAAATACAGAAATGTTTATTACTACTTCATTATATATTGAGGGTAAACCTTCCTACAAAACAATTATATAGATTTAAGTGTTACAAATGGTGACAGGAAGAAGTCAAAGTCCTTGTTATAAATGTTAATAGCTCAGACAACATTTACTATGTTCCAGAAACTACTCCAAGTATTCAGATTTATTAGTCATTTAATCACACAGCCACCACAGATGGTGGTTGTTCTTGTTGTGTACCATCAGGCCGGAACTGACCCTCCAGCAGGTTTTCAGAGGCAGTTAATCACTGAGGAGGAGACTGTCCATCCTCTTCCACAGAGTATCTGGTGGATTCAAACTGCACGCCGTCAGGATTTCAGTGCAGCTTCTTGTCACCAGGCCATGAGAGCTCCCTATTATTCCCATTTTCAAAGGGAGAAGAAACTAGGCACAGAGAAAGCTAATTGCCTCAGTTATAAAACTGTTGTTGTTGTTATGTGCCGTCAAATCGTTTCCGACTCACAGCGACCCTATGCACAACAGCCCTAAACCCTGCTCTATCCTGCGCCAACCACACCGCCTCTGACACACCCATCCTGATTACCCCAGTCACCGAATTAATCCATCTCATAGAGGGTCTTCCCCTCCTGCGTTGTTCCTCAACCCTCCCAAGCATGATGTCCCTCTCCAAGGACCCGTCCCTCC